TTAATTAAATAAATTAAATACTCTAAATTATAAATAATTATTATATTAATTATAAAATATTAACTATTAATTAAATCTAAACACTCAAAAGCACTTCCTTATATGGTCCAAGTGGTCACATTTCTCTATATAAGAAATAAAGTGGAGCGTAGCACATGATCATTAAGTTAACTTCTCGATCGGTATTCGAGTAGATATTAGCTCATTAATCATGTTTTTTACAGTAAAAAAAAAAAATTCTAAACACTCAAAAACTATTTTCTAGTCTCTAACCATATTCATAAGGTCAATTTTCCTCTAAATATACAAAGGCCAACCAAGTTGAACATAATTTTTTATAGACTTACACATGTTATATAGTATAAAATAGATTGTTTATTTAAAATAGTTATCAATGTAATAACATATAAGTTAATGGAAAGAAAAATAATATATATCTAACAAAACTTTACCCATAACTTTATCAATTGCAAATCAAACAAACTTAATAGGTCTTGTTCGGCGCATTAAAATAAATTATCTATAACATACATATAAAGATTACCCATAAAACTTCTCAACAAAGATATTCAACCCTTATCTGACGAATAGACTAAAAGCAAACCTTTATCAATCAAATCAAAATTAGCATCCCTTGAAAACAACCTGTGCTCCCTTATTATTGTTTTTTTCAAAGGGCTTAGCTTTGCAACTTGATTATTGATGAAGATGTGGGGTGGTCGGGGTCCACCACTGCATACTAAATTTTCCTGGTCCCATCTTTATTTCCTTTTATTTTCTTTTGAAGTTGAACGTTGTAAGGGGGTGGATTAAGGGTCTCTTTGGTGTAATTTCTCAAATTTTCAATTTTTTAATACTATTTATATTTTACAATGTTAAATTTTTTTTAAAAAAAATTTATATTTTAAAATAATTTTTTAACTTTAAAAGGATCATAAACAGTAAAAGATCAAAAATTTCAAATTCAAGTTTTTTATAAATTTTATTTTTACTCACTTCTTTTTATCTTTAAAAATAACTTTTAAAATTTATCTCTAATAAAAATTTAAACTTATCACTCATAAACAGTATCAATAAAAGTAAAAACTCCAACAAGTTATACCAAACAATCCCTAAATTAAATTGATGTCAAAGTAAGATTTTGTTTTGGCAACACCCCCCCCAACAGATCTCCCCTAAAAAAATATAAAGATAAATTATCCATTTAAATTATAAATTAAAATAAATTATTTATTTTTAACATATAATGTTAATTTTTGGTTAAAAATACTTATGTGACAAATAAATTTTTGATGTCACATCTTAAAATATTAATAATTTGTTTTAATTTATAATTTGAAAGGATAATTTATTCTTTTATTTTTTTAAGAGGCGGATTTATCCTTATTCTTTTTTGAGAGGTAAATTTAATGATTTTAACTTTGGTTTTAGCCATACGAGTTGAGTGTTCTTTACTTAAATTTGTTTTTAACTTTTAAGTGCCTGTTTATTTAGAAAAATGGTTTAGTACCAAAATACATTTAATAATTCTCATTCAACAAAGATATTTAAAAATTTATAGTTCATAGTGAAAATGACATTTTTATTAAAAATATATAATTTAGCTTGTAAAATTAATTTATTCAAATGAATTGATGCAATTTGAGGATTGATTAATTAAATAGTTCCTTATTTTGTAGAATGAATTACACTGAAATATGAAATATGAGCTATTGGAGGAAATACAACTCTCAATATTAAGTGATTAATTTACTCTTATTTTATAATAAATATTATATTTTTTTTACTATTACCTTAAGATTTAGAAATCTCATCAAATCTCAATTAATTTAGAATTAAATCACATCAAATTCTATAAAAATTATATATTTTTTCATTTAAAAAAATCAAACTTAAAATTTTATTTTAAAAAATATTAAGTTCCTTTCGGTCAAATGAATCAAGAGATCATTAGTAATATTATAACGTTTTAACTACGTACTATTAAATTTTCAATTAATAAATGAAATGATTAGAAGTAAATGTGTGGTCAAAGGGTGGAAATGGCAAATCAGGTAGTATCACGTTGAGTGCAGTCTCTTTCTTCCTCTTCGTCTCGCAGTTTCCTGGCTGCCGTATCCCACATGGAACGAGGGAACAGCAACTGAATTGACAGTAATACCCATCAAGCCAAAATAGTTGACTCCGATTCAGGTTCCAGGTTGCCGACTTTCCAAACACGGGGAAGAATATAGGTTTGCGTTTTGGAAATTAATGTCCAAATGACCCTACCTTGTCATATCGTAAATTTAAAAATGAAAAAAGAAAAAGGAAAATGATTTTAAAATAATTTTTTTTATCATTTTTAATATAATTTGATATATTAATTAAATAATTAATTTTTTTTATTCATATAAAATTTATAATATTAAATATATTTATATGTATAAAAATTATATTAAAAATAATATAAAAAAAATCTCTATAACATTCTTTATTTTATGAAAATGGGTTATTATCTATTGTATTCTACTATATTGTTCATATTACGTTCCTTATTTTATGGGGAGGGGTTATTACCTACCTTGTTTATTATTAAATTATCCATAGTATTTGAAAGGTTAATTTAAATAAAAAAATATTATTTAGTTCAAATAACATTACACTATATAATTTAGATAATTAAATAAAAATAAAATTTTTAATATTAAAAACAATCTTATTTATTATATATATTTTATAATTTGATAATTTGGGATCAATTTGCTTAATGAGACAAGCATTACTAATTTACTACAAAAGAAGATGTGGAGTAAATTAACATTTTACGAACTAATTTTTTTATAAATCAAATGATGAGTTATATAATAAAAAATTTTTCTTTTTTCAAATCCATCTCTACTCATTTAAAAATTCAATTACTAAGATGTTCTTTAAGAAACTTTACTGGCTAATTAAACTATTTTTAGATTGTCAGCAATTTAATTAATTTAATAATTATTTTTTTATAAAAATAAATAATTCTAAATTTATGCTAGTAGAATACATTAAAAAATAAAAAAAATTTCATTTAATTATACAATTCAAAAAATAAATTAATTTAATAATTATATTTTTATGAAAATAAATAATTCTAAATTTATGCTAGTAGAATACATTAAAAAAATTACATTTAATTATACAATTCAAAAAATATATATATGTAAAAAGTTTACCATTGCTCATTTTCTGCTATTGGAACAGGTATAACTACAACGTGTTTAGACCGTATGTCCAGTCATACTAACAGTGTAAGCATCGTGTATTTAATATTATTCCATTTCGGATAACCCCAACCTAATTTTATTTCATTTATAATTAATTTAAAAAAAAAGAAAGCAAAGGAAAATGGAATAAAAAAAAATATATTAATTATTAAATAAAATTTGAATCCTTAATATTAAGTTATCTCATTTAATAATAATCTATATTTTATAATCAAATATATTTTGAATGATAAAATAAATCTTCCTCATTAATAAATCTTGAAAAGCGTAACAGTTGCATCTATAAGAAGTCATTTTTCCTAATATCTTATCATGAGTCATACATTAAAAAAAGAAAAAAAAAGGGGTTCTACAATTTTCCAAATGGATTTCTCGTTTCTTCAAATATTTCAATTTGGGTCCTCGTGTTTGTGAAGGAATGATTTTTATTTTATTTTTTTGAAATTTCAACTGAAATTGTGAAGCAAGGATTTGGACATTGGGAGAAAAATACAGGTATATGCAACGGATATTTTTGACTAAGGGGTCGCCGAAAATGAAACCAAAAATGACTGGGTCATAAGTCGAAGGAACCAGGCGCGTGTCATGGGCTTGATGCATGGCGTAAATTAGGTGGGTCTGGACTAGTATTTTGTAATCTACTTGTTTAACACTTTAACTTTTCAACAGATCCAGCCTCCAGGTCCAGGGCATGTGAACTTGCTAAGCATAATGATAAATAGAATTAAATTTTAAGATTAAAATCTAAAATTAATAATATAATATAAATATATTATTTTAAATATTAAAAAATAAATTTTATATTATTTAATAATTACTTTTTTTTAAAATTTATAATATTATATATTAATTAATTTGATAATATAATTTATATCATAATATTAATTTTAAATTTTTATCCCAAATTTTAGTCATACCTATTACTACTCATTTGTTAATCTTTTTCTTCCAAATCAAGTTGCTGGATTTTGGCACGTTGTCAGGGACAAAGACGTTAGGGGAATTGACCTAACTGCAAGACCAAAAGGAAAGCCAAAAACCTGTCCCAATTCCAAACCCACTTTTTTCTTACATCATGTGCAATGACTTTTTCGTTCGTACCCTTAAATGGTGCGTTACTTTTTCTTTTCTTTTTTTTTTTAATATAAAGAATTTTGAAGGAGGAGAAATATTTTTTAAAATTATTTGTAAAACTAAATTATCGGTTAATTAAATTTAAATATTAAAATATAAAGTGAATTATTAAACTCGAACGCTTGGTTCATGGTTGTTAAATTGGGCAAGAAGAGGGGATTTAATCCGCAATCAACACAGAAATGCTGTAACAAGAAATGGGTGTTGGCATGTGACGTTTACTGAGTCAATACAACAATATTGGAATGATCTAGCATTCTGGTTAGAATATTGCCCAACGCCTACTTTCTCTCTTGCAAAACAAGGTTTCGTGGTCATATACTAGGCCATAAGTTGTTCTTTCGAAAGTACACGTTACAATTATTTTGTTACATCTTGACAATTGACCATTGACCATTGCCCATTGCCCATTGCCCATTGCCCATTTCCAACTCCTAGCCCTCTCAAAGATAACAAAAAAAAAAAGAAAAAAAAAAGTCCACAACAAAAATATTTTGTATAATTTAAACTATAATAAAAACTAACTATTAAATTAAAGGGA